GCAAAGTGCAGAAAATTAAGTGTTACCCACCTCACAAAATGGGAAAAGGCTGAAAAGCCTCACCACACATATGTAAAAACCAAAAGTGCTTAGAATAAAAAAACCACACCCCCCCCCAACAAAAAACAAAATCCCAAACTCCATACTGCTGCACTTCTGAAAAATAAAAACTATCAGGCTCTCCATAAATTTGATGGACCATAAATTAAACACACACAAGTCTAATGAGAATTCTATACTGAGGAAATTATTTTTGTCTCCCAACAGAAGGGCAATTACCTTATCCTTTAGCAAAATTTCATATGTTGTTAAGAGTATGTTAAATTTCAATCGTTTGGTCTGCGGATGCATCCATTCATGAGTTCTTATCTACAAAAGGAAACAAGTAAATGATAAGCTGCAGAAAAAATCTCGTGCTGACTGAAATAAATTTAAATACTGCAGTTATGCAGATATTTAATGGCAAAAACAATGATAATGAAATAGAAGCACAACAGACGCATATGTAACATTTATATATATCAATAGATATATACATATTAAAATATATACATTTAATACATAAATATATATACATATGTATACACACTATACATACACATATATAACATAAAATAATTTTTTTACTTTAATGGTTAAGACTACTAACATTAACAAACCAACAACTTCTCAAGAAATAAAATAAGATGATCACTAGGTTTCTTACATGTTTATTTTCACTATATCCATGTAAATAATGACATGGCAGAAGATAGCTGGTTTTCAAATGCAAGACAAAATTTTTAATGCTGTTCACTATTAAGCAGAAAGGAAATTTCTCACACACATTTACACGAGATCAAAATCCAAGCTTTCAATTCACATTTTGAAGAAATAGGGCTTCAGCAAATATTTGCTCAGTCCCAAGCAAAATATTTGAGAATATGCAGATGATGAGAACATGAAGTATGTCTTGTTTACGTTATGTACAGTATGTACAAGCCTTTCCAAAGACAAGGAGAAATACTCACCATATTTCTACTAGTTATGTCTCCTAAGTAAACTACAGCATTCATCTGAGGAGCCCAGGTTTGAATCTCTCTTTGCCAAGATGTCAAGGTAGAAAGTGGTACAACCAACAAGAAAGGCCCATACAATTGATGCTCGTGAAACAGATAGTTCAGAAAAGAAATTGTTTGTATTGTTTTACCCAGACCCATTTCATCTGCGAGAATACAGCTATTCCCTCTAAAACAAGAGAAAAAAAAAAAAAGAAAGAAAGCAAGCTATTTAGGGGAGGTGTGGATATGGGGAAGGTTTGGATAAAAAGAAATTACTATCTTTTGAGTACAAAACCTACTCATTAAAGTTTTCAAGATTTTGCTACCATATATTTTGATGAAACTCATATACATTGTTTTTCCATAAAAAGATTTCCAATTCCTCCTACCCACTTAAATAAACAAAAAGGTTGTAAGTAGTCTCCTCCCTAGTCTAATTTAAAATGTTTAACACTAATGTTGACATTCCAGAAACGTTTGTTTGGGTTTTCCCATTTTACTGTTTCGGGTTTGTTAGCTGTTTTAAAACTGTGACTTACTTCATTGAAACTAAAAGCAAAGTAATGACACAGCTTAGCTGGTTTTTATTGAGAACAGCCACAAAATAGTAATTTTTGGTACTACTTAGATCAAAACCAGTTCCTAAAGACCTCTACTTTGAGCTTACCTTACCAAAATCTCCAAGTTAAAAAAAAAAACAACAAAAAAAACACCCAAAAGAAAAAAAAACCCCATTTTAATACTTTACAAATGCTTGCAATTTGAGATTACTTACTTGCACCATGAGTGAGCAAGCCAATTCAACCCATTTAACTGATAATCTCTTAACTCTAAATTTTCAGGTCCTCCAATGTAAGATGGTTGCTTTTTCAGTGCAACAAACCGTGGCCTTTGCTTTAGAACCTGAAAAAGCAAATTGATCATCAGTCAATCATTGAACTGTAACTGATTGAAACTGCCAAAAGATCTTCCCATAGAAAAAGTAATAGGAGGCATTTACTAGGCCATTAACACTAATTTTTATCCATCAATGCAAGCAAGGCCATAGAAAACCACCAAAGTTATTTGCAATTTGAAACGAGTTCGATTGCTGATCTAAATGACACAACATGAGTGACATTAACTCACTGAAAGTTTTCTTTAACTACAACACTAAACAAACACATTTCTGAATGCTAGTAAAAATTCAGGGGACTGGCATCTTCAAAACCTACTCACAGCAGTGGTATTATCTGTACATCCATCCCACTATACATCATTACTGGTATTCTAAAAAAACTTCCAAAAAAAAAGTCATAATATGTATTTGATATGTGTATTAATAAATAAATAAATAAATAAATAATCACATTTTTACTATTGCAACTGACATGGTAGCTTGAACTTGGCCAAGAGCCAAGCTGCCACCCAACTACTTACTCACTTCCCACCCTAGAGGGACAAGAGAGAGAAATGAAAAGGCAAAAGTGAGAAAAATTTTTGAGTCAAAATAATAGTGTACTAGGTGAAGGAAAAACACCTACCTAATCAAAACTAAAAAGCACATAGGAAAAAAACCCCAAAAGCGACAG